AATGTCCTTCTGTAAACAACATGCTGAGCTTCTGTTTTTGTAAATCTGATTATGATCAAGTCGGTGCCTCACCAGCTATTAACCGCACGTCACCACTTCACTGGTTCTGGATGAATCCGATCAAAATGGAGCAGAACTTTGGATCAGAACCAAAACCACTCACTGACAGAAACCAAATCCATACCAGGTTCAGACCAGAACCAGCGCGGTTCTGACCAGATTGCCAACCCAGATGAAGGAAACGGGGCCAGACCGACCAGAACCAAGTCAGACCTCTGACCTAGACAGAAACACTTTCTGTCTAGAAACCGGTTCAGACAGGTTTCTAAAGAACAGAACCAGAACCTTAAACTGCTCCAGGCTTCATCCCCGGCCCGGTTCTGCTCCTCACCTGGACCCGTCTCCTGGTGGAGGACAGCGTCTCCGTCCCTCCGGTCATCTCTCGGCCCGCCAACCGAGAGATTGGCGGTTCCTCCAGAACCTTCTTCTCTGCCCCTGCAGCCTCAGAGGTTCTGTCCGGCCCGGTACCGACCCACTTCCTGAGGAGGCTGTGGAACATGAGGACGGTCAGGGTGCACAGGACGTACATGTCCCCCGGCCCGGTTCTGTCCGGTCTGGATCAGAAGCAGACGGTTCTGTTTGGATCCAGCTGCTGCATCCACCGGAGCCGACCCGATTCTGAGCGCCAGCTCACCTGCTCCATCTGTTTGACCTTTGACCCGGACCCGCCCCGACTGACGCAGTGGTTCTGCAGAACTGATAAGACAATTGGACCTTGTCCCCGCTGCAGGTAACCAGAACCAGAACCAGCAGTTTCAGGTGGCAGAAACTCTACACCTCTGCAATTCAGAACTGGTTCTGGTCCAAATGGATCCAGCAGTCAAAATAACAAACGATATTCAGTTCCAGCTAAATACTCCTCAGAGAACCGGTTCTGTAGACGGAGGTTCTGGAGGTTCTGCAGGTTCTGCAGCTGGAGCTCAGTTCTGTTCTGGCAACGAGCGGTTCTGGGACCATCTGCTGCAGCACATAAACCGGGCCGGGCCGGCGCTGCTCACGTAATGTTCTGATGCATAACTGGGAACGGGTCAAATCGGGTCAGAACCCATCAGGCTGCTCAGTCCGGTCTCTACAGACCATCAGAACTTTTTTCAGCCAGTTCTGATCAGCCAAGCAGAACCTTGGTGCCAGCCCGCTCAGAAGTGGACCAGAACCAGAACTGGGCCCACAGGAACAGCAGGTCCAGTTCTGCAGGCCAGTCCAGAACCTGGACTGGGTCCGGTTCTGGAGAACCCGAGCGACCAGACATGAGCAGAGCTGAAGCTTTAACAATCAGCTGGTTCTGATCCACTTCCCAACCAGAACCCGGTTACACATTAACCCGCTCGGAATTTAATCTCCAGTTATAAAACCAGAACCACTCCTCTGACCCGGTTACACAACAGAACCTGATCTGGACCGGAGCAGAACCTGAACCCAGAGTTTTGTAACATTAAAACGATCAGCAGACCCGATTCTGGTTCTGGTTCTGGAAAACCATTAAAAAAATTAATTAATTAATTAAAGTCGGGTCCAGTATGAATGGAACCGGTTCTGAAAGAACTCATTAAAATCTGGATCATTAACTGAAATTATCTGAACAGAACCTGGTTCTGAACAGAACCAAAAGTCCAAACTATCAGAACTCTGGAGTTCATCCAGCCGTTACCATGGTGATTAGCAGATCAGTAAACCCTGTGACTGAGGTACCAGAACTGGGCCGCCGATCAGAACCTTCAGAACCCAATATGTGTTCTGGTTGAAACGTCCTATCAGAAACGCCAGGAAGGACCACTTGAAATCAGAACCGGAACCGGGCCGGACATCAGACCCATCAGAACCGGGCCGCCTGCGGCCGCTTCCTGCGCGGCTCTCTGGCTCCCCCTGCTGGTCACTCGGAGAAACGGATCCCGGATCAGAACTTTTATTCTGCTGAATCTGTGCAGATCCATGGCGACCTGCCCGGTTCTACTGGTTCGGTACTGGTTCCCTAATCTGCATCGGTTGCCATGGTGACGGTCCAGCATGTCTGGGTAAACTTTCCTCTACTCAGAACCGGACCCAGTTCCAGAACCCTGCAGAAACCGCCCACCGGACCTGAACGCCCTCACGGTGTTCCTGACAGCCGGACCTTTCAACAGGATCAGAGTCTACCAGAACCGGGTCAGATTCCGCCAGAACCGTCCAAACTGCGAGGCCGTGACTCTGATTAGCGCGCTGCTAATCTCATTTCCTCTGATTGGCTGCCGTCTGGACCAAATGTTCCAGTTCGGCCTGCAGCCAATCAGAGAGGAGTTTTCTCATCAAATACCAAAACAAAGAAAGTATTCACACCCCGCTCCAAACAGACTTTTATTTTGGGGATTTTCCGTGATAAATCAGCAGGAAACAGATTCCTGCTGATAAAAACTTTAAAGTGTGGCGTTCATCTCCAATTAGCCTCTTTGACCAAATGAACCAGTTCAGGTTCAGGAGTCATTGAACTGGCAGATAGAATGCAGCTATTAGCAGCTAGCAAAAAGCAGGAAGTAAACACAGCAGACCTCCGATCAGGAGCCCGACCTACACATCTCATGGTGCTGGCAGTATCATGCTGTGGGAAGATGCAGACCTGAGATTGGGGTCAAAGTCCAGCTTCCAGCAGGACACCAGCCGGAGAAATTATGGGATGGGTTAGAGCAGAGCATGGCCTAGTCCAAGTCCAGACCTGAGGGTCTGTCAAGACGTTGATCTTCTCCATCCAGACGTTCAGTGGAGGTTCTACACATTTCTCAGGGTGTTTAATGTAAATTCACGCCACACTTTTCAGATAACAGTTGACTCATTTCGCTGATTTGGCTCCAGGCTGTCAGTTTCTCAGCTTCTCCAGGTTTCAGTAAGAAAACAGCAAATCGTTTCAGGGAGCTTCATGATTCTGGGTCTCAAACTATTTGGTTCAATTCATCTGGTTTTATTAAACAGAAATGATTCACTTTCCCAACATCAAGTCAGCACAGGAAAATTACCTTTCACCACAAAGTCAAACTTTTTCCTGAGAAACGGAGCAGCAGAATCTGATCTGTTCTTGCAAATAATCCACCAATATTCAGAAATCAAAGCTAATCAATACGTCAACAAAATTACGGATCAATAACCGAGAATTACAGAATTATTAAAAACTTCTGTAATTTAATAGTCCTGGTTCAGGGTGTTAGCTCCAGCCGTTAGCTCAGAACAGTAGAGGTTTCTAGAATCGGACAGATTTCAGCTGATTTCTTGGCTTTCTATGACTTTTCCTTGTGTTTGATTCTTTTTCCCTTTGTGATCCCAATTTCCTACCGAGCTTCATCTGTGAACCAGTCAGATTTGATTTCCCAGTAAGGTGACTGAACAACCAGTTCCACAGCTTCAGAAGATGAGGTTGGAGTTCTAAACAAATCCAGCCGTCACTTTTTCCACCGAGCTGCTGGGTGTCTGGAAGCCCAGCTTAAACCAGGCAGCGCAGGGTTAAACCTCCGGCCTGCTCCACGTCTGCTGCGGCTTCCTGTGATGTGGCTGCAGCCGCAGTTATTTATAGCTGCAGCGCGGCCTTCCGACACGCCCTGCAGCCGCGCCACATCTGGACCAGTGCTTCAGCCCAGACCAGATCTCTGCTGCTCCTCAAACACACCACAGCTCTACCAGGACTGAGGTTTCCTGAAGTCCCCGAACGCCTCAGAGCAAAAACACAGAAAAACTGGGTTGAACAGATCCGAACGCCTCATCAGCTGGCATAAAGTCCAGAAGGTCAATTTCCGACTCCTTGTCACTCTGAGGAACGTCCAGCTGAACGGGTCTGCAACAAATCTGCCGATACCGGGTTCTGTTAGCAAACAGAACCAGAACCAACCTTACACAAGAACCGAGCAGAACACCAAGCTGCTCTGGATCTGCTTCAGCATCAGCTACACACACACCAACAGAACCTGCCAATCCCAAACATCTGGACCTCCGCGGCACCACAGAACCCAACAACAAACAGCTGGAGCCCGGCCCAAACAGTACCAGGCCCAAACAAGTCAGCACCACCAGGTCACACCTGCTGGTCTGCATCAGGGAAGCAGGATCAGAAAATCTGGGCCGATATCAATCATAGCATCACCACCAGCTAAAAAGTTAGCTGCACTAACCCTAGCACCAATCAAACAGCGGTTCCACTTAAGCGCTACACCAACATCGTATTTAGCAGAAGCTAATGCTAAAGCGTTAATCATAAACATTAATTCCACCAACGCTAAAGCATTACACCAAGTAGGCAGGGGAACGCAAGGAGAGGAAACCGAACTGCTGTGTAAACAGAATTCAAAATAAAAGCATGAATCTAAACGAGTAGCTACTTTAAGAATTCAACAGTTGAAAACCAAAAACATCAACAAGTTAACATTTTATTTTCTTTAAATAGAAAAGAAAATTAGTGCTCCAGAATTATCAGGAATAATTCATCCAGGGGAAGTAAATATGCCAACTTTAAAAATTAGCACCATTAGCATGCTACCACTGAATCTCAGATATTAATTTTGCTGCCAGGACCGATAACGCATACTTTTCTACCGTTTCAACATGTAGACAAAACGACCAGAATCTGACATCGGCTCTCCACCCACAATCCTGTGCTGCATCACATGACCAACCGCTTAAGACACACGAACAGCAACAAGACGAAAACAAAATCCTGATAATCCTCCGGTTTGAGCATGTTGCTGGTTCCCTCAGGCAGGTGACTGAGTACCAGTGTGACCAGTTAGCTGAATGTCTAGAAGATTACAGGAAAGTCCAAACCCGGTTCTGAATCCTTTGACACCTCGGGCCAGATAATGGCCCCTTGACCTCTAACCTCCACCATGATGCTTTAAAACTAACAGCCCAGTTTTCTGTCTCCATGAAGATTTAATTTAAAGGGGCTAGTTAAATGTCCAGCTGAGTGGGGGAGGAGCTGCGCCTTGAAGGCGGGGCTAGGTCCTCCCAGGTGTTTTGCTCAGCTGAATGGTTGCCATGGAGACTAAAGGGTTTCTCAAAACATGAAAGAATCAAAGCAACACTGCAGGGAAAAACATTAAAACATGATGGAAGAATGAAAAAAGTTCATTTTAAATGAAAGTGGCTCACAGTTTCCCCCAGAAAGCTGCTGAGCCTGGTGGTAGGGGGCGCTATTGGGCAGTCAGCCAGCAGCCTGCCATGTTTGACTTTAAAAATGTTTAATGTTGACAGGAAAGTTGAAAATATAACAAGATAATCATACGTTATTGGACGACATCAACGATGCCTAAATACAAACTACAAAGTCTTTAAAAAGTCAAACAATAAAAAACTAATCAATAACCAGCCTGCAGGGGGCGCAAGTCCAGCCTGGAGGCTGCCAGTTTGATGAGAGGGCTGAGGGAAATGCTGCTGGCCCTTTAAGACTGCAAACATGTCCAACATCAGAGTCTGTGTCCAGGACAGAAACGGTCCTGGACGGGTCCAACAGAACCACCTGGTAGAGTTTACTGAGGAACAGTCATAGCGTTTTTCGTTTGGTTTGTTCATCAGAGAAGAAAAACTTCCTCTGATGCTTCCAGTCATTTAAAACTGTAACAGTGTTCCCAGTGTTCCCAGTGTTCCCAGTAGCAGGAATATTTCTATGGAAAATGATCAAATAAAAGGAAACCAACCGAAATTACATTAAATATCTCCAGGGGCAACAGGGAACCAGAAGTAGAGAAAATTATATTTATGAATCAATTATTGATTAATTTCTGCTCGATCCATCAGAATCAATACAGTCAGTAGGTTAAAGCTGATCCGAACCAGAACCGCATCAAGAGAAACAGAGAAACAAACCAACAGAACCTGCAGTTTGGACCGACAGAACCACCTGCTGCTGGGTCCAGTCCAGACCTGTAAGCGAAACTTCATAAGGGTTTGCTTCAGATCAGAACCGAACCCAGAACAATTCGGGATCAGAACCTTTGGTGTGCTGGAGCCGGTTCTTTCAGAAGCAGCTGGTTCCGAATGGACCCGTTCCTCCTCCATGTTCGGCTCGGTAAAGAACGTTCTGGTTCTGATTAGAGGCGAGCTCTGTCTGTTGGACCGCTCCGAACCGGACTGCTCTGACAGCTCGTCGTCGCCATGGTAACCCCCACGTGGAGGGTCCCCAGCTGGGCAGGTGAGGCCGCGCGCGCAGCTTTTGTCCTGGATGAAAGAAGCGCGAGGCGGTGGAAGCTGCTGGAGCCGCGTGAAAAGAACCGAACGGAGCCGAACGGAGCCGAACACACCCTGCAGGACCCACAGAACCAGCAGCGGAACCACAAACTTACCTCCTCCTCTTCCTCCCGCAGGCCGCGCCGCTGTCGGGAAGGACGCTCACGCAGAAACACGCTCAGTCTGCGGGTGTTTGCGGGGTTAAGCCGCTCAGCTGTGGTTCTGCCGGTGCTGCCTTCACAGACGGTCGGACGGGTAAGTGAGGGCAGCAATAAAGCGAGACTTTTATAGGAAAGAGGGCGGGCCGCAGCTGGGGGTCACGTGACAAACAGAAGCTTCAAAATAAAACATTTAAATGCAATAAAACCTTAAAAATAAGATGAGAGCCGGTCAGATGAATCGTTCAGGGCAGAAAAGTCTCTAAAGGTTCGGAGGTAAAAACCCAGAGAGCAGGATCGGAACCAGCAGACCCAGAACTCTGTGGGAATGTTTATCCCGGAGGATGCTGAGCTGAAACTTCCAGAAATTTCCATGAATCCAGCCTGGAAGAAACGATCTGCTGCTCCTGCAGGCCTCACCTGTCCAGGTGAGACAGTTGCAGGCCCCGCCCCCTTCAGCAGGAAAATCAGGAGTTTGTGTTCTGTTCCAGTGAGCTGCAGCTCGGTCCAGCAGACAGAACCAGCCGAACCGTCTGTCCGTCCTGCTGCTCAACTTCCTCTGCAGCTCCACCATCAGCTGAGCGGAAATGAATCAGAGTATTTCTGCAAAGTAATTAATTATTCTGCTAAGTAATTTAAATATTAAGATGAGTTTCTGAAGACCAATGAATATTAATCAGATTATTTTGAATATTTTTTCAGAATGATCTGAGTATTAAAATGAGTATTTCTGTAAATTAATCTCAATATCAATATCATTATTTTGTCGAATAATTTGGCAATTAATCAGAGTATTACTGTAGAGTAATCAGAGTACCAATCAGAGTATTTCTGTGGTTCCATCAGCTCTGGGAAGTGTTCTGGGTTCTGAACGGTTCAGATCACATCCAGTTGGGCTCCTGAACCGATCAGAACCTCTGGGCTCTAATCAAACTGATCGATCAGCAGGTCAGACCGAGGAGCCGATGGTAAAATGAAAAACAATAATTTGGTTTATTTAGTTGTAGAGAAAATATGTCAGTATTCATTTCTCAGTCATATTTTCACCATAACTGAGTTACAAAATAAAAATTTAATTCAAAGATTAAATATTTATTTTACAAGCTAAATATTTAGCTTGTGAATTAAATCTTTAGTTTGGAACTCTGACATTTATAAATGTATGAATAATATGGTGAAAATATGACTGAAAATGAACACCTTTTTCTCTGTGGCTGAACAAACCAAATTATTGCTTTTAATTCTTTCTGTATAACTTTACAAACGGCGCCCAGAGTAGAGATGAGTCGGTCCTGCGCAGATGAACTCTGGGAAACCGAGTTCAATGAAAAACCATTCACACTGGCCCTAAAGAGGACAAACAGCGCCTCCTCCTGGACGTACAGCCTCAAACACATCCGCGTATTTGAGGAGCTGCATCGGACCTCTGACGTCATTTCCTGTCTTCCCAGTCTGGCATCCAGAGAGCTGCTGGAGGAAGGGTTTATTAACGACACACAGCTCTGCTCTGTTACAGACAGCCTGGCTTTTATTCTCAACTCGGCTGGAAAACATTCCCAATGTTAGGAATCAGCAGGAACATGATGAGGATTAGAACCCAACGTTAGGAGGCATGCTGAAGTTTTGAGCAGATCCTTCGGGCTCAGGCGGATCAGCAGCTTCCTGCCACGTTGGCGTTGATCTCCTCCTGTGGCTCCGTGTTTCCTGAGTCGCTCCAGCTGGAACAGCCCTTCCTGTTTCCTGCGCCTCACATCAGCAGGATTGCTGCAGAACCACCTGATCTGCTCCTACAGAACGTTTTCACACCCTCTGACCCCGCTGAACTCTGAGCTCCAGTCCAATATTTTATATCAGGAAATATTCAACAGATCCACATCAGATGGATGAAGACACAGGGTCTGCTGTAGCGCCCCCTATTGGCTGGAAGAAAATACTTTAAATGGGATGTTAGAAACACACTGTGCTGCTTTTCCTGTCAGCTTAGGAGGAAGTACGGTGGCTAGCAGGCTGTGAACGACATGCAAACACATTCCTGTTCCCCTCCTGGCCTGTGGGGGCGCTGCACCAAGAACCACTGAAGGAAACGACACAAAGACCTCTGAAGACACTGAGAGCAACTTCCTGCTTCACCAGATGGAAACAAGATGGCGGCGTCAGATTTTAGCAGTTGGAGGATTTCTCTTTAGTCTTTGGCTAAAGACCAGGAGCCATTTCTCCTGCTAGTGCTAGGCTAACACATTAGCTTTGGTTGTATTTACCCAGAATGCCCTGCGCTGTAGTCCACTTCCTGTTTTTGGTGCGGTCTCTGGTCCGCTTGGCGTTCACATTCAAACCGAACCAGAGTTCACTTCAACCAAACCCAGACCGAAGTCAGAAGGACCAGAGGTCAGAGGAAAATAATGGATTAACATTCTGAAAACAAACCAGAGTTTGTAGACAAATGGACCCGAGTTGGATCGAAACGGACTAAACAGAGCTGGTGTAAACATTGCAACCATTAAACAGAAAAACACAGAAAATAAAAATTTAGCAAATGCAGGAAATTGATGCAAAGAGGAAATGCCATAAATAGCAACAAATAGGAAGTATAAAACACTTCAAACTCATGATACAGAGCAGAGGTCATCCAGACCACCAGGGGGAGTCTGCAGTTGGTAATATTACCTATGTGGATATGCTGCTGTTGTAAATGACTTCCAATGTTCATCCTGTGACAGGATGAGTTCCCATGTGACTCCCCCTAGTGGTCTGGCGGACTCCGTTTGGTGGAACAGGTTGCAGTTTTTTTAATTTTTGCTTCTGTTTTTACATTCAGTTGAATTTTCCATTTTGCTTCTAATTCCCATGGTTTTGTTTTGTTTTGTTTTTTTGCTTGGGAGTTCATTCATGTGTTTGCAGCTCGTCTGCTCCTGTCAGCAGGCCTTTGACTGAGTTAATTATAGTAAGTAAGTACACCCTCAGAGAGTCAGACACATTTTAAAAAATATATTTCTGAAGAAAATAAAACTAGAAAACATTTTCAGGATGATTGTGTTGGAGCCGCAGATCTTTCAGCACATTGTCATTGATTCAGAAACAACGCTGCTCTTCATTATTTACTCTTCATCGTCCGCTCCTCATCCTCTCTAATAAACACCAGACTGCATCTAAAAGCTTCAGTTCAGAGGCAGACTGCAGAACAAAAGCTATGAACTCTGGGAAACTGAGTCTGTTATTTTGATGTTTCCTCTCCTGGGGAAACAGCGCCCCCTCTGAGGCCGTTTAGCTACCCATGTGGCCAAAGGCGGTACTGCAGCTTCCTCATCCCTCCTCCTCCTCCCTCTTTGCTCCTTCCTCCAACACCTCCACTGTCAGAAGCTCCTCCCCTTCCTGCCGCGGCGTCATCCTGATGATGACAGAGCTGTCCGCCGTCTCTGCCACCGACTCGTCCCTGTCCTCCGGAGCCAAGCGCGGGACCGGAGAGCGGCGGTGCATCGGAGAAGGGGGAGGCACCGGAGAGATGGGGGGCGGAGCCTGAGGGAACAAAGATGGAGGATGGCTTTCTGCCGTTTTTTTCATCGAAACCATCACAGCTGACAGGAACAGCTCGTTTCCTTTCCTACGTCCCTTCCTTGATTTTCTCCATCCTTCCCTCCCTCTCTCCATCCCTTGTTTTCCTCCTCCCTCCCTCCATCCTTCCCTCCCTACCTCTGTTTGGCCCTCAGCCGGTTGGTAAACCTTCTTCATCTTGGCGAATGTTCCCTCGATGCCGGCGCGCTCCGTGACCTTCAGGGCGGCCTTCAACAGTTTGGGGGTGTCGGGTCGGGGGGGGATGACCTCGGCCACCTCCTTACGCGTCTCCTTCTCCTCCGGCTTCTTGTCTTTGGTCAGCATCGTCCTGCAGACAGACAGGCAGCTGGAGCATCTGACCGGCAGAACCAGAGCGGATTCTGTTGGTCATGTGACCCGCTGTGACCTGGTCAGAACCAGAGCCTGATCTTATTACAGTAATCCTGCTGAGGGCAGAGGAAGGAGAGATGACTGAGACGTCCAGAGTCCAGAACCTGCTGGTTCTGACCCGGATTAGACTGGCTCCCAGAACCTTCAGCAATGAACCTCCAAACCGGCCTAATCAAATCATTAAACAGCTTCCTGAGACAGGAACAGGAAGTGATGATGCGTTATGACATCATCAGACCCCTATGACCTTTGACCGGGTCACGGTTCTGATCCAGATGCTGTTTTCAGGGAGGATTTAAAGAAATCCATAAACATTCAGGAATGATTCTGATATTCCTCTGACGCACCAAACAGCAGTTTGTTCACCAAACAGCGCCACCTACTGGATATAGAACTGAAAGCAGCCAAAATCTGCAGAAAACCTAGATCCTGGTTTCAGCTCAGCGTTCTGGAGACGCTGCTTCAGTGTTTCAACCATTTTAACGTCTGGAATCACCGAAACTCATCGCAGAAGTTTCCAGAACAGGAGAGCTGGCTGAAACTTCTCATTTATGAAACACAGGAAATAAAGCAGCAAAGTATCAGCTGAACCAGTCACAGGTCCGGTTCTGGTCCAGTCCAGTTCAGTCCGGTCTGGCTCCAGTCCGGTCCGGGTCTTACTTGGCCTTCTTGCGCAGCAGCTTCTGGGACTCGGGGTAGTGGACCAGGATCTCTGCCAGGTCCTTCTTGTCCAGGATGAACAGGTTGGCGAAGCCGTGCGCCTTCACGTTGGCGGTGCGCCGGTTCCCTCCGCCCCCCGCCAGCAGGCTGACCAATCAGAGAGAGGGACAGCTGTCAGAGGAAAACCTTCACGGTCATCACTTTCCTGGTTGAGTAAAATCTTAGAGTTTGTCCTGAAGGGGGCGCCAGAGCTACTGGTTCTGATCCAATTTCATCTTGTTGATCTCCAGTAGATCTAAAGGTTCCAGTCGGTCTCCACCGGATTCAGACCAGTTCCATCTCTCATGCGGCTGCAGGTTCTGACCTGATCTCTCCGAACACGGAACCGGCTCTGATGGTGACGAACACGGTCTCCAGGTCCGGCCCGCCCACCACCTGGACCTCCCCCTGCTTGATGATGTACATCTCCCGTCCAATCTCCCCCTGCAACACACAGCAGCTCCTTAGAGCCGCCCGCGGCCCGTCGGCGCGGCCCGTCGGCGCCGCAAACATGCAGCCTCACCTTTTTACACACAAAGTCTCCCGGCAGATAAACGACAGACTTCAGCCTGGTCAGCATGTCGAACACCATCTGCCTGTCGCAGCCCTGCAACACACACACAAACCGATGGATCGTTATTTGTCGGTGCAGCGGTTCTTCGGGTCCGGTCCGGTTGTTCTGAGGTTCTGACCTGAAACAAAGCCACTTTGCTGACAATGGAGTAGTTGACGTCCACGGCGATGTCCAGCCTCATCTTAGCAGGAAGTTGAATCAGGAGTTCCTGTTCATCTGAACGCAGGAGACATGAACGCATCATGAGGCATTCAGGAACACTGCGTTCATTCACACTATCCTTCCAGATGTTTCATTTTCCATCATGTCCCAATGCTGGACGTCCATAACTCCAAGTTTCCCCTCACCACTCAGGGATCCAGAACCAGAACCAGCTCTGGATCCAGGCGCTCGCCGTCAGCTGCTTACCCAGCATTCCCTGGCTCTTCCAGGTGTAGTCCTATCAAGTCTTGATTCGGTTCTGGACTTCCCGGAACCAGATCAAGCACACGTTATATGTGTGCATATATTTGGTTATGCATAACATTGCATAACCAAATATATATTCAGCATAAATTTTTTTATGATCATCTTTTTTCCTCTAAATATATTTGTATTATTTTGTGTTTATATAAATATGTATTAATATTACTAAATAATTTTTTTTGAAAAAATATGAACGTCTGTGTGGCTTGTAAAATGCTCAACATACATCAATATCAGAATATTCAATTCCTATACTATTCCCGACTAAGAATATTTAAATATACTGAACCGTGTATCAATCCAACTTAATACTTTAAAAAATAAATTTAGTTGTAAATGTAGCTATGATAGGTGTTTGAATAATGTTTCCAGTAATAAAGCATGAAAATGTGTTAAGTATTTTGCGAGTTATTATTATTATAAATGTGATGATACTTCATTACACCAGCCAAGCATAACGCTGAAGGGAGGGTCTGTTCTTTATATGTCTGTGTGAAAATCCGGTAGAAGACCTCCAGAGACTGTCCTTCCTCTGACATTATCGACAGGATCCTCCCATTTACGCCTGAATGACGTGGGACCTCTATGGAAGACCAAAACCGACATAATAAGAAATAAAAGCATAAATATATATTTTTTCCTTTTCCTTACACGAGTTTCCATCAAGTAA